ACCCCCCCGCCCCTCCACTCCCGGTGGCCACGTGGCTCCCTCCCTCAAGTCTCTGACTTGCCTCATTTAATTTGCAAACCCCTACCACCGTCAGCTCTTTCGTATCTGTCAAGTGTCACACGTGATTACACTGGGTCCGCACGACAGTCCCAGGAAAGGACACTGAGGTTCAAAGGGAAGTGGTCACTCACTGGAGGACACATAATGGGAGACTGGTAACTACACCATGAACTGATGTAGTTCATCCACTGATCCACTCCATGAGGCTCGCCATGATACCTCAAATTTCTCACAGCGACAGGGAAGGGGATCCCGACCGTCTCACCTCATTTTGGATGGCCAAGACACGGGACCAGGGCCGCTGGGATCTGGGCTGGGGTTTGTGGGCGTGGGGGCGCTGGCCAGGCACCTGGCTTACTGAGTAGATGCTGAAGCCCAGGGCAGGCACCGAGGCTGGGAAAAGCAGTTCCTGACCGTCTGAGCTAGGAAGTATCACCACCTCAAGTAAGGGAAGAGGGAAACAGAGTCAAGAGACTGTGAGTAACCTATTGAGCTGTACATAGGCCGGGTCAAACTCCATCAGGAGAAGGAGCCCCAAATGGGAGGAAGAAATTAAAGTGTTGGCCAGGGAGGATGGGGTGTCAGAAATTCTGAGTTAGAGATTGCAGAGAAGATTCATAAAGTGGGGAGAAAGCATTGCTTGGAGGGTGTAGAGACTGTGGGAGAAGGAGAAGTGAGGGAGGAAGTGGAGAAAGAGATCCTTGAAGCAAGGGAATGAGGGAAAGGCAGATTCTTGGGGGAGGAAGAGATTCGTAGGAAGAGGCGTTCCAGGATGGAGAGAATAAGCGTTCAAAAAAAAAAACTAAAAAAATAAAATTTGGGGCCCCTGACTAGCTCAGTCCGTAGAGCATGCGACTCAGTCTCAGGGTTGTAAATTCGAGCCCCACGTTGGATGTAGATTACTTCAAAAAATAAAATCCCGGGGTGCCTTGGGTAGCTCAGTCAACTAAGCATCCAACTCGTGATCTCAGCTCAGGTCTTGATCTCAGGGTCATGAGTTCAAGTCACCCGTTGGGCTCCACACTGGGGCATGGAACCTGCTTAAAAAATCCTTTCATGTTAACTAAAATTTAAATACAATTTGAAAAAAAAAATTAAATAAAATCTTTAAAAAAGAAGTCATGAGGAG